GGTGTGGCAGCTACAGACCTCACGGCAGGTTCGCTCAGGAAGGGAGATGTGACCAGCTCATTGCCCCAGTTGCCGCAGCCCACCTGCACTACCCAGATCCTTCTCCCCACAGTTCCCGTGGGCTTCTTCTATGGGGAAACTTAAAAGAAAAACAGTAGGCAAAGTCCCACCCACAGCTGTCCTCAGGGCTACACTCCCCATTGCCAGCCTCCAGCATCTACGTATTTAAACCCTCTCACCCATCACCTCTGCAGGTCTTCATAGCTTCTCTGATTAAGTGACCCAAACTCTCATTCCTGATGTGTCTAAGCCCCTGGAAACCATATCATTTTCATTCCAGGATGGCTGTGATGTGTCCATTCAGTTATAATTGTGCAAGGGAATAGTAAAGGCCAATAAGTGAGTCACCTGAGTTCCACACACATTCAACCTGTTGCCATTGTGTAAAAGCAACCCTACCTCCTTTAGCTGTCGGGGTCAATTACCTGTGACAAGTTGGTGAAGTCTCTTCCCCACTGCTGGTGCTAGACACAAGGAGTCTAAAGTACCCAAGTAGCAACCACAGCTTATAGTTATATTGTACCCTTGCTGTGTACCCTGTAGTAAGACTGTACCCACTTCAAGGACCAGGACTCCTAACTCTGCAGAGCCCAGAGGTGCAGTGACCAAAAGCACAAAGTACCCCAGTGGGACTCAAGGAGCTACACTAAATAGGGCCACTTCTGTTCCCACCTCCTGGTTCTCAGACCCACATATTCCTTCTATTGGGGATACAAAACTATGAGAAAGTTTCTAATTTAGCGCATATACTGCATCTGAAAGACGGCAACCCATCCGAGTTCAAGCTACACCTGTGCCTTCTGAAGGCCATTCCAGCACTCCATGAGGCTGGCTGCCCCCAGATGGTACCACCTGTGATACAGCAGATGTCACGGCACAGGCCCACTCCCACACACTTTTCCCAGGAAAGTTGGTCCCCTGTTTTGGTGCTATGCTGTGTGGATTCCACACCTGTAGTTCAAGGAGCCAACTGGTAGCATTAAACATACACAAAATTGCCAAGTAAAAATGATCAATAATACTAGATGCTATAGATAAAAATAAATAAGATATAATTGTTGCCTTAAAGGGGCTTATAGTGTAAGGAGAATCAAACACCCACAACAAGGTCTTCCTTGTTCATTACACACTACAAACATATAAAAAAAGTATACAGATTTTTTTTTAGATAGATACTAATAAGCCATCATCATAAAACCTTAACCATAATCACCAAAAATAGTTCAGATGCACCAAGAAAGGTATTC